TTTGTGAATTGGGATTACATCTGAACGGTTGAGTTGTTAACAGTCAGCGTATACCGGGCTGTTCGTAGTTGACTGAGAGTATCGTCATCGACATTGTTGGTGAACTTGTAAGATTTATTCTCTTCTCATGTATATAAAGTGAGATAATATTCAAAGGTCACATTTTTATGCAGTTCAATGGCTGGTTCTCTGCTCAATAAGAAAAAGAAAGGTGCTAAGTTGTTAGATCCTCCCCCAAGGAAGAAGCAAAAAGCAGAATTGGCTTTACATAAAGAAGAAGAGAAAGAAGACTTGCTTAGTAGTGATTCAGATGGCAGTCGTGAACCCGAAGAACTTGAAAAATCTGATGTGGAAGAGCACGATAACAGCGACTTTTCTTCGGAAATGTCATCTGATGGTGACGATCCTTTTGCCCATGATATACTCCTCGGAAGTGAGGATGAAGATGATAAAGGTACTTCTTTTTCCAGTGGTGTTTGTTAATGTTAATTAGCTTATCAGGTTCATTTTCTCTGCATTACTGATACTCATATTTCGAGTAGAGGAGGATGCTGGTGCAGATGCTAGTGAGGATGCAGATTCAGATTCTGACGAGTTTGACATCGAAAGGAGAGCTAGAGCCATTGATGAGGAAAAGGAGCAGGAACAAGCAGATGCAGAAGATGAATTACAGCTTAATATCAGAGAAGAAGCTGATGAGTTCACATTACCGACCCCGGAGGTTTGGGTTACGGGATATTATGTTTCTCTATCCTCTTGGAAAGAAATTTTCAATGTTTATTAGTTTTTTTATCATTTTATTTTATTTTATCTATAATGCAGGAGCTTGAAGAAGAGGCGAATAGGCCCCCTGATCTTTCCAACCTTCAGAGAAGGATAAAAGAGAGTATGTTTGGTTTAATACATATTTTGTTGTTAATTTGAATTATCTTTGGTTTATATCAAGATTTGGGTTATTATTTCAGTCGTGCGTGTTCTTTCGAACTTTAATGCTTTGAGGCAAGAAGGGGCGGCACACAAGGATTATGTCGATCAGCTTAAAAGGGATTTAAGTTCATACTATGGATACAATGAGTTTCTGATTGAAGCTTTGATTGAGGTAGTTTTACTTGCTCTGGAAATTGCACCACTTTTTTATGATTTTGATTTGAAGTTGCATTTAGTTATTGATATATATATTTTTTTCTTTTAAATTTCCATCGTTGTTCAGATGTTTCCAGTCGTTGAACTTATGGAACTTATTGAAGCTTTTGAGAAGCCAAGGCCTATATGTCTTCGCACAAATACTTTGAAGGTAATATGTATTCTCTTTAAAAAGAAACTTTCGCCATGAGCTTTAGCAAAAGAGCTGTTACGAAACAAGTTGCATGGTGTTGATATTTCTCTAATGATATTTAGACTCGTCGGAGGGATTTGGCTGGTATTCTGTTGAACAGAGGTGTCAATCTGGATCCACTAAGCAAGTGGTCAAAAGTAAGATTTTCCACCTGGTTATAGTAATTTATCATAATTTACAATGTGTGCATATCACAGTTATTTCCTTTTTTGTTCACGATGCTCAAGATTAATTATGAAATGGGATTCTCTTGTGTTTTCTCGTAGGTTGGTTTGGTTGTATATGATTCACAAGTTCCGATTGGAGCCACTCCAGAATATATGGCGGGTCACTACATGGTACATTCTGATCGTAGGTTTCCTACAATGTAGTTGATTACCACATAATGCTTATGGGTTTATTTGATACAGCTTCAAGGTGCAAGCTCTTTTTTGCCTGTGATGGCCCTTGCTCCTCAAGAAAAGGAAAAAATTGTTGACATGGCGTGAGTGTTTTCTTATTTTTTTCGTAACTGTTTGACTTTTGTAACTTCTTTGTTTGCATATCTGTGTTGTTTCTTCTGATGGGTATGATTGTTCCACCTCCTGTAATAACAAAAAAGACCAGTTTGAAGCTCGAAATTTTTCTTCTTTTCCTCCATTTTTTCTGCTGCACAAGTCAAGCGTATATTGTTCTTTAAGCCATTTCAATCTTGCCTTTGTCTGTGCGATGAAGTTTTCATTGTCATAAATTGGTTACCTATAAAAACGGAGTCACACTTCTAAATCAGTTATCTGATGATTATAATGTATACATAATTGTAACTCTGGTGTTTACAGGGCTGCTCCTGGTGGGAAAACTACCTATATTGCTGCTCTTATGAAAAATACTGGTGAGGAACTTATTCGAATGAAATAGTGAAGGATACTTCATACTTCTTTGTCCTAAATAATATAGAACCTTATTCGTGTGATTCTAAATAGAATTGCAAAAGGTCTTATTTCTCTCTTTCTCACATCTTGAATGGGAAACCTATTTGATTAAGCTATGTCTACTAAGACTGTGTTTGGTAAGCATATAAGCTAGCTTATAGCTTATTTGATTAGCTTATAAGTTTCCTGTATTCAAATAAGTTTGG